TGCTTTGCATAAACATGAGCCTTACTGTGCCCATGGTGGAGTTGGGATGGGTGTGAGGCCTTTGTGGGCTGGTCCAGGAATTCCTATCCACTGAGAAATGGGAAACCTAGTGGGCAATGAGCAGTGGGTTATGGATGGGCAGAGAAAGACAGGGCAGGGTCGTAGTGGGAGCTGCTTGCCTCATGGGCTGTTCTGTGACCTTGAGGTCACTTGCACAAGTCCCCAGGGAAGTCACACTCCTGTTCCTGTCTCTACCAGTGCCTTGCTAGGTGAGCTTAAACTCATCTTTTGGCCTCTCAAATTGTCTGTCTCCATCTGCATAGGAGACCTAATGAAGTTTTCTAATAATCCGATTCCCGCATTTGCATGGAAAACATGGGTATAAGCATTGTAAGCACTGGCTGCCTTCACTTAGGTTGCGCATCGCCAAATCCCTTAGAGTGGCTTGGCACAGAAGAACATAGCACACACACCCTTAGCTGAGGGCTATGTTCTCTGGACTTTCTCTGACCCCTCTCCTAGCAGCTTTGCCTAAGGGATTATTTAACTGAGAATTTTAGGTGTGTGTAGAAAGAAGTGGGTTTGGGGGGACTGAATCTTCTTTTCTGCCCCTATCCCATCCATGCCTGTGGTAGTTTGGTAGTTTGGCTGGGCCTGGTTGAGTGGCTGGGCAGCTGGTGGTAGTTAATCCCCAGGAGGAGACTGCCAATCAACTCCATGGTGGGATCTACCAAAAGCAGCGGGATAGCTGCCTTTGGGTATGTGGTCTGTTTCCTGTATATAAGGAGAAGCCTTGGGAATGGTTCTAGTCTATGGCACTCTTGGACCCTGCATGTAGCCGTGTTGTTGCTCAGCAGCCTGCTATGCTCTGCCGACCTTGGGACTTACAATGAACTCAAGTTAATGGCCTGCCATGTGGATTGTAACATCAGGACTGTGCCTTTTTACTTGTCAACCTTGAGGCTTCTCAGCCTCAGCAGCCAGCAGCTGCCTGAATGAAGAAATGCTTCTAGCTCCAGTGGGCCAGGAGCAGGAGGCAGAGCTGGACCCCAAGGTTGAGGGGCTTTGACCCAGCCCCTAGAGCCTGGAACTTTGAACTTGGACTTAAAGCCTCCAAATTGTAAGAATAAACTCCTGTTTGTTAAGGCCATCCCATTTGTGGTATAAAATAAAGGTCAGAGCGGCACTAGGTAACCAGAACAATGCCCAAATATGAGATAAGGAGCAAGGTGTGACCTGCCCTGTAAAATGACAAGATAGTTACAGGACAGCACACAACAGGACTCAAGAAATGGCTCCTCTCAAATAACTCCAGGTTCCTCAACAAACTGGACATTGGGAGGGGGCGGCATAGAACCTTCGAGACTTAAAAAGACATCCAAAAAATGGCAAAAGTCTACACGAACATACCCTTGGGCAATGATAAAAGTCATGGTAAAACCAAGAAACCAAACTCACTGCCATTGAGTTGGATCTGACTCATAACGACCCCCCCCCTTGGGTTTCCAAGGCTATATCACTACGGAAGTAGACTGCCCAATCATCCTTCCAAAAAGTGGCTGGTGGGTTTGAGCCGCCAGCCTTCTGGTTAGCAGTCGAATACCTTAGGCACTACGCCACCAGAGCTCTTAAAACTCACGCTAGTGGCTCCTTTAGGGACTGGAGGAGCTTGTGATTGGCCTGAGTCATGTGGACGGGCTTCTGGGGTGGCTGGGAAAGCAGTTCTTAGGTGGTGGTGACAAAGAAGTTTTGCACTTTTATCTGTTTACAATAAAAATAAAGGCTTTTAAAAAATACAACTTGCTTTTTCCCTTCCTTTCTCCCTTTGCCATACAAATAATGGGCCGCCTGGGAAAGGAAGCCAGGTCAGCCTTCACACCTGATGTGTGCCCGTGCAGGGGTGGCCCTTTGTTATCTGGACCTTCCACTCTGGCAATAGCCTAAGGGCCCCATGTCAGACAGGGTTAAGAAAAGCTGTTCATACAAGGCAGGATCCTTGCAGATTGAGGGGAGACAGCAGCACCAGCAAGGGAAAAGGGGCAAATCCTCCCTTAGAGTGAAACTCTCGTTATGTTTAGTGAAGGCAGACCCATCCACTGTTGTCAAAACAGCCATTTCCTGAACAACTCAGAAGAGGATCATGCCTATCATTATTTCCAATACTGACTTTTCCAGCCTTTCCATAGGACTTGCCAACATCATACGATATTGTTTCAAACGAAACCAGTGCCTTCACCTATGCAGTAAATAGCATGGGAGAAGGGATGAATGGAATTCAGTGAAGAAAAAGAACCCCCCAGCAGTTAGGAGAGGGGGTGCCTACTATAATGTTTCTGGACCTGAGGGGCTGCCTGGCCTGGAATAAATATGTCAAACACTTAGCAGCATTAGGCTAAGTGTTTTACTTCCTACAACAGCCTGACCAGATCTTACAACCACCCAATTCATTTCCTTCAGAGGCATTCTCCAAGCAGCAGTGTCTGCATGTCATGAGGTAAGAGGGGATTTAAGTTTTTCATCCAGCCAAAGCAGGGAACCAACCCTCCTCCCTTGATGACAGCTATCACAGACCACACTTATTTACACCTGGCAACATCAGCTTGGACCTGGCTCTGGCTCACGTTGTTTTCCTAATCTCTCACTGCAGGAGCCTCTCCTAGGCCCTGGGGCATGGCCCACGGCCTGGTCTATCAGTGGTTGTCCCAGTGGCACAATTCAGATGTCCTTGGGACCCAAGAGAACTGCGGATCAGAGATGGTGGGTGAGTCGCCCAGCAGACCTTATGGCTAACCTGCCCTTGGAATTCAAAGGTGCTTGAACTCCACTTTCCTGTCTGTTTTCAGTCTGAAGTGTGAGGCCAGGTACACCACCTCATGTAACTCATGTGTACCCAAGCACCTCAAAGGACCCTGGCAAGGGAATTTTGATCTCGAAGGTCTTGCCTTGTAGTCTTCCTATAGTGCGGTAACAATTTCTCTGTCTGCCCTTCTGCTTGCACTGTATGCTCTGGGGCACACCCACAGGGAGAGTTTAGCACGTTTAGAAAGGGCAAAACCAAAGACCTGACATCCACACTTCCCCACCAAATTAAACAGAGCAGTCTGGAGAGCAAACAAAACCTGTTACAGGCTCAGAAATGGCTGTATCTCCCTAAGTACCAGGTACCACTTCTGACCACGTGACTGAAGCCCTTCGTGGTACAGGGATCATCAGCAAGTTGAAAAGGACGAAATGTTTTATTGCAAATATGACATTAAATCAAGTGTCATGAGCTTTTCAAGTGATACTTTCTCAGCACTAAATGAGATTTTGTTGAAAGGGGTCTGCTTTCCAATCTTCAGAGCCAAGGCAAAGTGACAGTATGACTACCCCCATGTGACACCAGCTAAGTGCAGTGGCTGATCTTAACATTCACTCACAAGACGTCCTAGATCATGGTACATCCTTCAGGGACAGTGAGTAAAACTCTCCCAGGGAGAGGAACTAAACTCCGCCAATGTACCTTAGCACTCAAGTATTAGTAACAAAAGCAAGCATTCTTGACTAACAGGGCTAGGGGCTCAATTTTGATTATTCACACTTAAGACTTCATTCAGCTGTGGCCTTTTCCCATTATTTCTTCTCTCTAAACCCAGGTGTGATGAAAAGGAGTCAACTTTCTATACACAAAGTTAGGAGGGAATACCAACCTTTATTTACAACTTGAATTCAAGTTCAGATCAGAGACTAGTGTAGTGGGAAAAAGCACAGATCCTGAGACCAAGGTTCAAATCCCAGCACAAGCACACTGACGGGGGCAAGTGGCAAACAATACCCTCAGTTTCCTCAGTAAAGAGGGAGAGTATCACCTATGATCTTCCAGCGGCAGCCATCTCTGTCCCCAGGCCCTTCCGGGGCCTCTCAGGCAGCTCAGCTGACAGACTGTGGGCTCTGCAAGTACTTCTCAGCTCTGCTGTTGAGAAGGGATGCTCTAGGGGTGCCCCCCAACAAGGTTTTCAGCAAAAGCAATAGATAAGGATCTTCAGAACCAGTACAAGGACCTAGTGAGAAAACTGCATATAGGTGCTCAATAAATATTATATACAAGTCTGGCCCAGGGCAAGGACAACGGGCCTTGTACATAGTAGCTATTTCATACATAGTTGTTAATTCTGATAATTTTGAGGGAGAAAAGGATGTGGTGGTGTCTTCAAGCTGTGACACTTTCGCCAGGACCCCTTTTTATCTGATTAACCTGATTTTAAAATCAAATACTTACTATTCATCCTAAAGACCACCCAGACATTATGCACATATATACTAAGCTTTTGTGTGCTTGTACAGACACACAGAAACCATGAGGTAGTTTAATAAATCACCATTAAAAATCAGTACTTTTTCTAGTTCTGTCAGAGTAACTAGTGGCTGCATAATAGCTGATTAACATAATGGAGTAAATGAAAACCAGGACTCAGAAACTCCAGGAGAGTGTACCATTTACAAGTAAACAGAAATTACCATTGTATTTTAACATCTTGGTTTCTCAAAATTAAGCTTTAACTGATTTAAATTCCATCCAAGTATACCCCCCTTGTTTTTAATACTTAAGGACTCAGCCTTCAGATTATCTGTACAATTTACCAAGTAGTCTCAATAATTAATCATATTTTACAACTTAACTTTAGTTGCCAGGCTTTTGTGGAAGAGTCACTACAATCTCTATGTATACATTTTAAACATTATTTTTGAATTTCATTTGTAATTCCTTAAATAAAAAGATCACCATTCTTCACCTTCTTAGAAAAGTGCCAGACTACCTAAGCCCCTGACAGAATTGCTTGCTCCTGAGTACCTGGAGAAATGTCGGCACCACACCCCCAAACCAAAAAAGTGCAACATATTCACACTACACGGGGAAAAAGCAACATCTATTGTTCTTAGAGATACTCTTCCCACAGCAAGGAAAATCTCTTTGCAGGTATGCTGATGCTGTCTGAAGTTGCCAGGGAAACAGGGATCTTTCAAACAAGAGCAGGAAAGTCTTCAGGGTCATCTGGGTTTGGAGCAACATCTTGCATCTAGAAAAGAAAAGTTTTGAAATCAACTGTCATGTTAGACATTCCCCACCTGGCTGGCATTTGAGCAGATACTGCTGGTTGTGACACCCGATCTCATCCAGGTGACCCAGGAGAGGCAGGGTCCCTGGTGCAGAGGAATGTCATGCATGTGAACCGCAGGCCAAGTGCTGCATGGACCCACGTAAGGAGGATGACAGACACCCTCCTGTCCCACTGTGGCAGCAAGAGGAACGCAGAACAGAGAAGGGAGGGTGCCCTCCAGTTCTTGCCCCAATGTGACTGTGACCCTGCAGAAGAGTGACAGAAGTGGCCAGAGTGACTTCCACCCTGCACACAAGTTTGGCAGCTGCCCACCTCCCTTCTTCCCACCCATCCTTTCTGAGTGATTCATTTTGCACCTGGCTCTTCTTTCTTGTAATACACAGAATGTTTATGCTGGGCGCTGGGCAAGAAGGATGAACACACAGTTGCTGCCTTGGGAAGCTCCAAGAGTGAGGGAGAGAAGCAAACTGAGGAAGTTACAATGAGATATCTTCAGTCACAGATGTCCTGGAAGTTGGTGGGCCATAGCAAGACATCTAGGGCAATGTGGTGGCAACAGGCATCATGGGCTGCCTGGTCTTCTGGGAGGAGGTTCTCCCTAAGATGAGCCTCAGTGGATGAACAGAGAATACAGATCCTGCAACACTGCAACCTGCCCAAGAGGCAGGCCTGAAGGCACTGCTGACCCCAGTGAAGCCCAGGCAAAATAATGAGCAAATGCAGACACCACTACTCACACCAATGAGAACACAGTTATAAGGAGAAATGTATGAGTAACAAAAGCAAGCATTCTTTGAAGCAAAAAAAAGAATAAAATCCTTTGCTCACAGGCCCTGACCTGGATTGGAGGGAAATATGATCAAAGATCTCTTCTCTGAGAAAATGTGTTAGAAGATCTGATCTAATTTTAAGCAGGCCAAGAGGTAGGAAAAAGACTAGCCCTTGCAAAGCCCTGTGGGGTAAGGCACACACTTGCCTGAAGTCGCTGAGGAGTGGGCAAGAATAGTGTAAGTGAGAAGGGGAGACTGGCGAGGTGCTAAGGCCAGGGGGTGAGGGCTGATTACAAAGGGCCTTGAAGCCTTGGGAAGCAATCTGTCTTTGCCCTGAAAGCATCATAAGCTGGCATTACAAGGGACACAGGCATGGGGGGACACAAACTATACGGTAAGCAACTGTCAGGTGATGTGATTTGATCCCAAGCATGGGGTCCTGTCTGCCATGGGCAAAGTGCTTTTCTACAGACAATGGACCTCCCTGGAGGCCAGTGCTGCAGAATGGTCTTCATCCTATGCAAGTTCCTGATCCTGAAGACGCTCCCCAAACCCCAAAATCAGATATGCACACCAGATGGAAGAATCAACTGCAGAACCTGCTAACCTCCAAAGTTAGACTTTGTAGGCCCATGGCCTCCTCATCCTTTCACTGCTCTCAGAAAAACATCCAGTATGTCGGAGCTCTGGTAGCATAGTGCCTAAGGCACTTGACTGCTAACCAGGAGGCTGGCGGTTCAAATCCACCAGCCACTCCTCGGAAGGAAGGTTGGGCAATCCTACTTCCGTAGTGATAACTGCCTTGGAAACCCAAGGAGGGGTCGCTAGGAGTCGGGGCCGACTCGATGGCAAATAACAACAACAACAACATGTCGGAAGCAGGCACCTACCACCACTTCTGCTCGGGGTCTGTAGGTCTCTGCCCTTCTGATCCTTCCCCGGCCTCCCCGTGTGCCACCTCTGGCTCCACGGCCGGGACGAGGGAGGTTACCAAAATTAATCTCCAGCTGGGACGTGATGTCATTGGCTGCTTTCCGGAAAACATGGGAATCATCCTCATAGTCATCCTTTACCATCTGAAACACACAAATACACACAGCTGCCTCCATCAACACCAGCTCAGATAAGCTGTGCAGGGGCTAAAGGAACATCAAGCGCTAGAAGGAGGCACTACTGGAATGTATCCAAGGGTGCCTGGGGCTGCAGGGTCAGGACGTATGAATTTTATACATTTAGTAGTCACATATTCTTGCAATTATAATCTCAACCAAACATCTTTGAACTTACTATTATTTCAAGTGAAACCAAATTTCTATCAATTTAGCATGTTAAGGCATAAGACTGACATGACTAAGAGCAATCAAAATAAAATGATCAAAGTACTTTGCTGAGATTAAAAAGTTTAAGGGAGCCCTGATAGTGTAGTACCTAAGGCACTTGACTGCTAACCAGAAGGCTGGCGGTTCAAACCCACCAGCCACTCCTCAGAAGGAAGGTTGGGCAATCTACTTCTGTAGTGATACCGCCTCAGAAACCCAAAAAGGGGTCGCTATGAGTCGGGGCCGACTCAACGGCACATAACAACAACAACAACAAAAAGTTTTAATTTCTACCTATTTTCTATTTTATTTGTTCATAACAACTTTGATCAATAAAGTAGTAGCCATTTTCTTAGAACAGAACTTGGTGCAAGCACTACTTTCCATATGAGTACTATTATAAAAAAAACCTGTTGCCGTCGACTCCAATTCATGGCAACCCCTGTGTGTCAGGGTGGACCTGTGCTCCACAGGAGTTTCAAGAACTCACTTTTCAGAAGGAGATCACCAGGCCTTTCTTCTGAGGCACCTCGGGGTGCACTCCAACCTCCAACCTTTCAGCTAGCAGCTGAGTGCATTAACTGTTAGCACCACCCAGGGACTCTGCTGTACAAATACTATGTGTTAAAAACTGCATGACTTATGATAAACAGTTCTACCCAGAAGTATGAGGAAATGGTAAAACACAAACTATGGATATTTGAGGGCTGTTACCAGTGTTGCACAAAGAAATCAAGCTGGTTTTTTAAAATGCTTGATTTAAACTTTTAGAGAAAGCACATTCTACTGTCAAAAGTTAAAGTATTTCTTATTAAGAAAAAATTATGTTAAAAAAGCTCACTCAAATTTGATTTGGTTTATCAAATCACAATAATGGATAAACAAACAACCCTCAACTTTAAGTAAATCATATACCTACAGAAAAGAAAATACACCAATGATCGCAGAGGAGAATCTCCAAAGTGCTACCAGGAGGAACCTTCCTACAATGAGCCCAGGAAATGGAATCATACCTCCATAAGCACATCAACCCCTTTCAGACAGGTACTCATTACAGGTTGCATGTTTAACATTCTTTTCCCCTCTCCCCCTTCAAGGTTTCAGATTCAAGTAAAACAATATGTAGGTGGGCTCTTGAAGCAAAAAGGATGAAGGGAAGAACTATTTAGGAGCCCTGGCACTCAAGTAAAAAGAAAACCACAAAATTTAAGAATCCAAAATTACTACCACTTTGTTAAAAAAAAAAAAAAAAAAAAAATTGTCAGTGTGCATCAGTGAGGAAGTGGTTGGTTAAGTCAGCTGTACAGCAGATCGCCCTCCCACTGTGAGAAGGGACAGGGCAATGAGATGATGGGTGGACCAACAGTCAGATTCTTGGCTTATGTGCACAGCACTGTGTATCTCCAGGCAAAGTGCTTTATGGCCCAGCTCATTTCACAAAGGCCCTGTTAGGACCTTACTTCCCAATCAACAGTGCTCCAGACAGACGAGGTGTTATTCTCATGCTTCTGTCTCCAGGGTACCCAGAATAAAGTAAACTAGTGACTCCAACATTTGGTTTATGTTACTTTAAGAAGAGTTCCTGGCTAAAATCTTCAATGCCATAAGATTAACAAGGACCAACGATGTGTCCTTTCCTGAGACCAAGCTCAATGACTCAGCTAACCCAGCTGCTTCAAATATTCCGGGAGAATTCTGGAGCCAGGGAGGATGGATCTGGTGTGGATTAAGGAAGATCTGCTGCTATTTTTACCTAACATGTCAGCTGCACATTTCACATTCTGACAGTGCATTTGCTTTAGGCAAAGGTTTATTTACAATGCCCCAGAACAAAAAGAACAGAGAAAGTAGACAGGAAAAGTACCAACCCAGCTAGTTGATGGGCTTGTAAAAAACCTCACAGAATTCTCCAAGAGAAGAAGGATTTGGCCTCCTATGTCTACACAAAAAGTCATATCTAGTGGAGCAGCTCAAAACTTATTGCTGAGGCCTCTAAGAGCTTGAACTGACCAGAACAAAAAGGGTGGAGTTGAGGGGAGTCCTGTATGATCAATGACAAGAACACCAATAACCAGAGTTAAATGGGAAATCTACACACTATAAAATTCTGAATTTCAAAAATGAAATCAATAATATCTAGCACAGAGGAAGGGCTGCTTGCTCACCACCACCATCTACACAGGGACTGGTATCAAGGTAAGTATCTGAATGAATGACCCAAATTCTAAATACTAAAATCAGAATGCTTCACTGTACCCTTAAGTTCAATAACTTAAAGAGGATGTGATTAAATGAATCACTGGTTATTCTTATCAATGGATGCCAATAAATTCTTCTGAGACATCCTCCTTCAAAGCTGGGACATCCAAAAAAAAAAGCTGAAAGCAAATGATGAAAAATAAGCCTCTGACACAGAGGAAATCCATGGCCTACCCCATAGGAGGGCAGGTTATTTCAACAGTGCCTGCTTATGCTGCCACGCTCCTCATTGGCTTCTGCTCTGCAGTTTTCTGTAGTTATGCAGTGAGAGCAAAGCTGCTGAATTAAAATGAGAATAGCTTCACAGAGTGGAGTATCCCAAACAGTTTAAAATGATCAGCTACTCCCAATTCCTTATTACATGCTCTTACTAGGAATTAGAATGAAGGTAGTCTAATCCTGCAAATGCAAAGTAGTTATCCTTTGAAGTGACACTGGACAGGAAACATTCTGCAACCTCTCATTTAAGAGACAGAAATGAAATGCAATTAATACACAGTATTTGTACAGTTTCAGCACACATACCGGGTGAGCAGAAAATCTACTGTCACCATAACTATTTTCTACTTAATGTGTCAATAGATCAAATTTCAACTTTTTCTTAATGACCAATAAAGATACAGTAAAGCTAAACATACACAATCTTAGCTTACTCAAGTAGAAACCAGGATACCAACTACTAATGTTCCATTCTCGAAACAGAAGTGGAAAGGTCCATTTTGTTTCCAGTAAGGTAAATAAAAAAGATTACTGGTAGATACAAAACTTAATGCTTACATCATCTTTATATTTTGACTTGTGAATCACCACTGCTTTGGAAGGAACAGTGGATTCAGGTTTCCGGATGTTAAACTCAGGCTTTGGTCTGGTCTGTTCTTGAAGGTTTTTCCACTCATCTAAGGTCATCTCATGAACTTGAGTTTCTTCTTCTACTTCCAACTCAGGAACTCTATAAAGACGTATAACCGAAAAGAATCATTTTTTGATGGGTATGACATGCCTACTGTCTCAAAGTAAAAATTCATAACCATTAGCTTAACATATTTTCATGTTACCACATCTCCAATCTGAAAAAGATACAGTCTTTGAACCATAAGCTTCTTTAATCACTTTATTTTCTTCATTTCATGCCATCATTGCCATTGAAAAGACTTCCTGCTGTGTTCAGAGCAGTACTTGGAAGGTGGGAACATCATCCCAACAAAAAAAGGAGGATTTTATTTCTCTCCCACCTGCTACTCCCTCTACAGATGGCATTATACAGAAGTGAGATTACTGTAGAAAGAGAGAAGCTACTGAAACCAAATAGAGAAAATAATGAAACAAGTTAAAAAACAATGGGTCACAAAAGCATATTTGGTCATTATTCTCTTAAAATTAATGAGTTTTAAGAAGAAAACAAAGCAGACATATAGATCAGTGCAATGGAATTGAGAGTCCAGGAATAAACCCCTGACATTTACAGTTCAATTGATTTTTATGACAAAAGACACCAAAGACAATTCAAAGGACAGAGAACAGTCTTTTCAACAAATGGTGCTGGGGACAACTGGATTTCCACATGTAAAAGAATCAAGTTAGATCCCTACCTCACACAATAAATGTACAACCTAAAAATATAAAATTCTTAGAAGAAAACATAGGCATAAATCTTCATAATGAAGAAATGGTTTCTTAGATATGATAACAAAAGCATAAGCAACAAAATAAATTCTTGTTGTTAGGCGTCATTGAGCTGATTCCCACTCACAGTAACCCCATGTACAACAAAATGAAACACTGCCTGGTCCTGTGCTATCTTCACAATCCTTGCTATGCTTCAGCCCATCACTGCAGTCCCTGTGTCAATCCATCTCACTGAGGGTCTTCTCTCACGTTACCGAACGTGATATCCTTCTCCAGGGACTAGTCCTTTCTGACAACATAACCAAGTAGGTGAGACATGGTCTGGCCATTCTCGCTTCTAAGGAGCATTATGGCTGCACTTCTTCCAAAACAGATTTGTTAGTTCTTCTGGCCATCCATGGTACATTCAATATTCTTCACTAACACCATATTCAAATATATCAGTTCTTTGGTTTTCCTTATTCCTTTTTCAGCTTTCCCATGCAACTGAAAATACCATGGCTTGGGTCAGATACACCTTAGCCTTCAAAGTCACATCTTTGCTCTTAAACACTTTAAAGAGGTCCTTTGCAGCACATGTGCCCAATGTAGTAATAGTTCATTCGATTTCTTTGCTGCTTCCATGGGCATTGACTGTGGATCCAAGTAAACGTAAATCTTTGACAACTTCAATCTTTTCTGCATTTATCATGAAGTTCATTATTGGTACAGTTGTGAGGATTTTTATTTTCTTTATGTTCATCTGTAATCCATATTGAAGGCTGTAATGTTTAATCTTCATCAGTAAATGCTCTGAATCCTTTTCACTTTCAGCAAACGGGGTTGTGTCATCTGCATATCTCAGGTTGTTAATGAGTCTTCCTTTAATCCTGATGCTGCAATCTTCTTCATATAGTTCAGCTTATCAGATTATTTGCTCAGCACACAGACTGAATAAATACGGTGAAAGGATACAACCATGACACATGCCTTTCATGGTTTCAAATTACACAGTATCCCCTTGTTCTTTTCATAATGAGGCAGTGGTTTCTTAGATATGATAACAAAAGCATTAGCAACAAAACAAACTTGTTATTAGGTGCCATCACATCGATTCTGACTCATAGCAACTCTGTGTATAACAGAACGAAACACTGCTCATGTTGGTCCGTGTACAGATTCCATATGAGCACAATTAAGTGCTCACCATTCTTTGCAATGTTATCAATAATTTATGATCCACACAGCCGCATGCCTTTGCATACAGGTAAACATCGTTTTTGGTATTCTCTGCTTTCAGCTAAGATCCATCTAACATTGCAATGATAGCATTTGTTCTGTGTCTTCTGAATCTGGCTTGAATTTCTGGCAGTTCCCTGTTGATGTACTATTCTAAACATTTTAAAATTAACTTCAGCAAAATTTTACTTGCCTCTGATATTAAGGATATTATTTGATAATTTCTGCATTCTGTTGGATAACCTTTCTTTGGAATGGGCACAAATATGGATCTCTTCCAGTTGATCAGCAAGTAGCTGTCTTCCAAATTTCTTAGCATAGATGAGTGAGTGCTTCCAGTGCTACAAATCACCAGCAGAAGGATGGGATTGTGGAAGTCAAGTTTCAAGAATAGTTCCTAGGTCTCTGGTTTGTGGAGCTGGATGGATGGCAACACTTCTTTATAGGTCCTGATGAGGACCAAAGGCTGCGGAGAAAGCTCAGCAGCTCCAGTCCCTGGTGTTGAGCAGGAGGTACATGAAGATGGCTCAGGCTAAGAGTCTGGAGGTAGCTGGATACACAAGCCTGGAGCCTATGTGCAAAGAAATGTATATTCTGAAGTCAGTGAGAACATGAGGTATAGGGGTGTACGAGATGCCTATAGAGAGAATAAAGTGTAAGAGAAGGGAGCCAAAGGCAGAACCCTGAACAACTTGACATTTTGAAAGGCCAGGCAAATGAAGATAAGCCTGCAAAAGAAATGAGAAAAGAGGTGCCTAAAGGCAAGAGGAAAATGAGAACAAAGTGAGAGAAACTCAGGGCGGTGTGCATTTACATAGAACTCAATAAAGTCAAATGCTTCTGAGAGGCCAGGAGAGATGCAGAGCGCAGTGCCCGTCAGATATACATACACGTGGTGACTGCTTCAGGTGAGCAATGAAGATGGAAGCCAGACTTAGAATGAAGCAGGAGGAAATGAAAAAGGAGTATATGGTGCTAGAAAACTGAATTTTCACATGCAGAAAAATGAAACAGGAAGATCCATGTCACACACCATACACAAAAACAAATTCAAAATGAATTATGGACCTAAATGTGCAAACCAAAACCATAAAATTCTTAGAATACCAAAAAACAAACCATTGAGTCAGATCTGACTCATAGCGACCCCTCCTTGGGTTTCTGAGGCAGTATCACTATGGAAGTAGATTGCCCAATCTTCCTTCCGAGGAATGGCTGGTGGGTTTGAACCGCCAGCCTTCTGGTTAGCAGTCAAATGCCTTAGGCACTACACCACCAGAGCTCCTTTAGAAGAATAAGCAGGGACAATGTTTTCAAGCCTACCTTTTAACAATGGATCATCTAATATAATAACAAAACCACAAACAGCTAAAGACAAAATAAATGTGACCTCATAAAAATTAAAAACTTTTGTTCATAAAATCACTTTACCAAAAAGTGAAGAGACAAACTACCAACTGGGACAGTATCTTTGGAAACCATATATCCAATACGAATCTAATAACCAAAACATATATAAAAGCTTGATAACTTAACAACAAAGAAACAAAGAACCCAATCATAAAATGGATTAAAAAAACTTTAATAGCCATTTCACCAAAGAGGACATTCAAATGGCCACCAAATGCATAAAAAGATGTTTAGTGTCTTTAGCCATCAGAGAGATGCAAATCAAAACCACACGGAGATAGTATTTCACTCCCACCAGGATTGCTAAGATTAAAAAACCAGAAAAGAACAATATTGGGGAGGATGTGGGAAAATTGGAATCCTCATCTACTGCTGGTGGGAATGCAAAATGATACAACCATTGTAGAAAACAGTATGTAGTTCCTCAAAATACTAAAAATAGAACTATCATGTGACCCAGCAATTCCACTTCTAAGTATATACCCAAAAGACTTGAAAGCAGAAACTTAAAAAGAAACTTGTACACTTATGTTCATTGTAGCATATTATTCACAATAGCCAAAAGGTAGAAACAACATAAATGCCCATCAACAGATGGATGGAAAAATACTATGTGGTACACACATATAATGGAATACTGCTCAAACAGTAGGAGAAATGAAGTCTTGACGCATACTACAATATAGACGGAGCGTGAAGATATGGTGAATGAAATAAGTCAATTACTAAAGGACTCATAAGATATTACCTCACTCATCTAAAAACACAAGAAAAGGCAAATGGAGATGGCAGAAGAGGCACACAAGCTACCAAGAACCTCTGCAACAAATAAACAAGAAACTAAATGAAATAGATACAGATGACAATCCTTGGACTTTGAACTTCAAAGGATAAAGAAGTGGGTCAAAGACTAACTAGATGAAGAAACTGAATGGAAACAGTGAACAAGGAGAGAAATGGGGCTGTGAACTATCAATTGGCCTGATGGCAGGGCCATTTTGAATTTTTCTAAGCAGCATTCTGATCAGGGTAGCAACCCCTTATAGGCTCTGCTTGCTGAAGACTGCACAGACACCTACACCAGGAGTGGCGCGGGAAAGATGCAATATGCCCCTTATTCCCCATGCCCTCCTAAGTGACCAGAAGTGTGGCTATCTACCAACCCCAACTACTTTTGAGACTGGTAGGAATTCTATCTTGGACCATGCACCCTGCCTGCCCCAGCTATCTTCTGGGCAGGCTGAAACATGTTCTGGGACCAGATGCCCTCCCCACAGCTGCCTTTTGGGCTGGCAGGAACTCCTTTAGGACCAGGTGCCCTATCTCCAGCCATCATCTGTACCAGCAAGAACTACATCTGGGACAAGGCACCATGCCCCCAGCTGTTTTTAGGGCTGGCAGGAACTCTTCTTCATCCAGGCACCTTGCCTCAGCTGCCCTCTGGACCAGTAGGAACTCTTCCGCTACCAGTTGCCCAATACCCTACTGCCAGCTAGGCCATCAGGAACACCACCAGTTTTCTCCTTTCTTTTCTCTCCCTTCCCTGATTTTCATTTTCTTTTGTTTCCTTTTTTTTTTTTTTTCTGCTATTCCCCCTTTTTTATATACTTGTTTTTCTTTTTGCATGTTTCTTAATTTTTCTTTAATATTCTCTTTCTCTTGTTTTCTTCCTTCATGCCCAGTTTTTTCTTTTTG